GCCATGTTTACCTTCGCGCCCGTCCATCGCCGAAGCAGTAAGAACCGAGGGTAGATCTGGCAGAGATCCAGTACTGTTCGAGATCGGGATACTGCTTCCGTTGAAAGTTTCCTGATTTATTCTAAACACAAGCACATGTAAGACCGACACGGGCTAGCAGAAGATGCGCAAAACGAACTTTATGCTGGGCAACTGCGGATAGGCGTCGTGAGAGCTGGGCCTAGACTGTGACGCATCCTAAATGACCCGAAACATTCACCACTGTTCGTACCATGCAACGCTTCAAAAGCAAGTAAGCAAGTACTCCTTAGAAAAAAAAACACTTTTGTTTCAAGATTGTTATTTAAGTTCATCATAAGCTGATGAGATAGAAACAGCTAGATAATGTTCGGGGTTCAGGATTAAATTCGTACAGTAGTCTTGAATCCTTCATCTGAATTTTTCACTGTACCAGCAGCGATAAAACAACTTAAAATTAAGGTACGAAGTGACCCGAAAGCTCAGCGGTAATGCCTTTTTAGCTGGCCACCTCAAAGTTCGTTAATTTTCTCCCTAACCATCAAAGCGACTGAAGTTAATATGCCGACCACTGTCCCCACTGACCTAGTTACTGTTCGCCTTTCATTATAAGGATGCAACCCAAGGGTGGATTTATGAAATAAACAGAAATTGTTTACAAATTTGCCAAAATTGTTTCGTGTGTGTATGAATTGGAAACGTGAAAACTAAACCTAAAAACGATTCATAAACTGCAGAGTACGCAAAACAGCATGAAAAGATGCATGTTGGGAATAAAGAAAAAATAGCAAGTTAAACGAATTTGCTAATCACGAACAAAGGAATCGACGGCTTCATTACATGAGTGAAGAAGTCTAAGTGGGAATGAGACACGCTGTAAAATAAACCAACCTTTGCTGGACCAGACAAATATTAGCCTAAGTGCTAAAGGTCCATGGAAAGACGTCCAGATCGATGGCAGGATGAACAGAAGTTGGTTTGATCAAGATGGAGAAGAATAACCACAAAACAAAAGTCCGCGGCAATGTTTTGAATAAGCCTTAATACAGCAGTGGACTGAAAATAACCTATGATGATTATGATCGTGCTAACGATTCAGAAGACGGGGTAAAAACTGATATCGGCCAGAGTTAGAGAGTTTCAAATTTAAAGCTTTCGAGTATCAGGGCATCAACATGCAAAGGAAATGCAAAAGCATATACTTCTGTGCAAATGCTAGCTATATATTGTTTGCTGTGCTTATTGCTTTGAGTTGTTTATTTTACAGAAAATCTTTGGTGTGTGATGTACGCTGAGCCATAAGAGAAAAGCTGATTCCTCTCCAAACACACATTTGCCTCAATCAGATTCGGCCTCTACTTTGCAATCTTTATATAAACCTACGAAATCTGCGTACGGAAGCGAATAATCATTTCTTAGAAGATCCTACCATTTAGCCCTCATTTCGAGTCGAAGCCAGCACTGGTTTTATGTTGTTCAATCGCAATTTTTTATCTTTCGTTGGAACGTGGTCGACAAAATGAAACACTGAATCTCTGTAAGAGATATGGTTTAATGTGAATTTCTGTACGGGATACTGAAAAGTTAGCCAAATTACTAGCAGCAACGGCGATCCTCCTATTTAATTTCGAAGGGTTAGTGTCATTTTCGCAAATGATGGGACCGATATACTGGCCAATCTCCCCCACCTTTTTTGTCTCTGTTCCATCCGTAGATCTGCTGTGCAGGATGGACTTTTCAATACCTTTACTTTTGTACTTCGCTAATAAACAACCCGGTCGCACAGCTGTGCTGCATACGTAAACAGTCATGTGACGAAATCTGCTCCCTGTACTACTAGTAAGGACAATATGTTTGTATTCGAAATCGACAAGATAATTGGCCGGTTGGCAGCTAAATCGATGCTTTAAAGCAGGTGTGTATGGGAAACAAATTAGGACTACAAATA